CAATAATTAAAATGAAAAACAATTTTAACAAATATAAACTTATTAGTATTTCAATGGGTTGGTGGGCCTGCTTTTGGCTGATGAGATAGCGTTGTTGTTGTTGTTGTTGGGTGCTTTCAAGCCTTTTCAGACTTAGGTTGACTCTGAGCGAGGGCCGGGTAAATGACCTTAGAGGGCGTATCCGGCCCCCAGGCCTTAGTTTGAGGGCCCCTGCTCTAAGCAATCTTGCCAACCAATCTTGCCAGGAGGTATCTACAGACGCAAGTTCCTCAGCTTGGAAATGGAAAAAGAGCATCTCCCCTAGAGCCAAAGATGAGCAATACTTCCAGAGCAAGAAATGAAAGGAGGATCCTTTGCCTTTGTCTGTATATTTGTGTTTCACTGTATTCCCATTTGTAACAAGGCATTGAATGTTTGTCTGTGATTGATTGTTATCCACTCTGAGTCCCCTTGGGGAGAAGGGCGGAATATAAATAAATTATTATTATTATTATTTTCAGATATTTTTGGCACAAATCCTATAGATCTATTGGAACTTTAGGTTTTCCAGGATGCCATTATACAGGCAGCTTGGTATGGATATTATAAAATCAGCTGGGGAAAAAACCCCTATCATACAACCAGAGCAAAAGGCACAGAACACCAGTTCTCCAATCAAAGCCCCATTCCGCAATTGGATTGCTAGATGATTGGCTGACAATGAAACACAAGTATCAGAAAGTCAGCTGACAAACCTTTGCCATACTGTCTTCGCCAAACTTATGAGGTGTAACAACAGAACAATATTGCTGCAGGAGCACAGATATAAATATTTGCCTGTCACAACCTCGACTACTGACTTTGGCCATTTTTAATACAGTAACAGATGCTGAAGGCATTATGGGAAGCATTCCATGGCATATGCAGAAACTAAAATGTTCTCCCGAAACGTCCGGGAAGTTTCCTGTTCTTGCTGCATTGCTGGTGTGAAGGGGCCAAGGACACTGGGAGCCAATTTGGATTGGAAAAATTAAAGAAATCCTCAGGCAGATATAAACACTCCCCCAACTGACCCATATTCTCATTGAATCAGGCTTGCCTGATATGAAATGCTAATAATATAACGCGCATGGAACCAATATTTACACCCTTCCACTGAGCAACAGACTGCAAATTGTATATGTGAGCCCACAAATGTACATAGGAGCCGGCTTTTCCAGGCTGAATGGCCATGTTCCAGAAGCATTCCCTCCTGACGTTTCGCCCACATCCCTGGCAGACATCCTCAGAAGATCTGTTGGAAACTAGGCCAGTGGGGTTCATATATATGTGGAATAATGTCCAGGGTGGGAGAAAAAACTCTTGTCTGCTTGAGGCAAGTGTGAATGTTGCAACTGGTCACCTTGATTAGCACTGAATGGCCTTGCAGCTTCAAAGCCTGGCTGGTTGCTGAATGGGGGAATCCTTTGTTGGGAGGTCTTAGGTAGCCCTGATTTATTCATGTCAGGAATTCCTTTGTTTTTGAGTGTTGCTCTTTATTTACTGTCCTGATTTTAGAGTGTTTTAATACTGGTAGCCAAATTGTGTTAATTTTCATGGTTTCCTCCTTTCTGTTGAAATTGTGGTCCTGTATTTCTGTGTTCTCCAATATGGCCGATTGCAACATTCACACTTGCCTCAACTAGACAAAAGCTCTTTCTCCCACCTTGGACATCATTCCACAGATATATAAACCCCACTTGCCTAGTTTCCAACAGACCTCACAACCTCTGAGAATGCCTGCCATAGATGTGGGCAAAATGTCAGGAAGGAATGCTTCTGGAACATGGCTATACATCCTGGAAAATTCACAGCAACCCAGCGATTCTGGCCGTGAAAGCCTTCGACAACACATCGTCCATAGGAACCTTTGCCCAGTGAGTCAACACACTCCACAACCACACATTATGCACCTTCCAGTTCCCATTGTGTAAGATACACCTCACTCTATAAACATCCAACTGAGAGCAGCTGCCCATGAGGCTTGGGCATTCATTATTTAGACACTAGACTAAAAAGCAATTATTAAAACATTTCAATAAATACACTTGGCAGCTTGTGTGGTTCCTGGATTACAACTTTGCTTCTATCAAAGGCGGGGGGAGAGAAAGAGAGAGAGAAAAAGAAGGAAGGGGGGGGGGGGGTTAGGGATTGAGAGCTTCCCCTCCGCAGTCCCCTTTAAACAACTTTCACAAATCAATTTTCTCTATGTGGTTCAGTTTCCTTTGACAGTTTAAACCTCAATCCAATCAGCAGTCTCTAGGGATTTCCGAATCACTAAAGATTAAAATCCTCCTCAAGCCCCAAGTGTTTTTGCTAATGCTGTGTGTTTAATAACTCCACTTGTGAGAGATTTTGCTGGAGAAAATCCGCCAGTGCGGAAACCTCCATAAGCTAGTATCTACAGTTGAATTAAAATGTTAAGATCGCCCAGCTCTTGTCTTGGGAGAAATAGGGTAAAAGTGTTGCCGTGAGTCACAAAAGCTTTCAGAATAGACCTAAAAGGGGAACATAGCTCTGCCTCCTATCACTTAGGCCTGGGCAAAATTAAACATAGGTTAAGATTGTGGTTTTTCTATAATGCCATTGAAGTTGTAAATGGTAGGGAGCTCCTGAAGACGAGCATAGTATTGAGCAACAGAAGACAACACGGTCAGATTATGTTAGGAAATCGAAATGGGGAAAGTGACCGTTGCAGAACCGAACACGACATTTATTACGGGAGTGGGTCAACAGTCCAGCTTAAAGAAATATAATATACTTTACAGATTGGAACATCAAACATCCCTTTATACAACTGCAGACGTTCTGGCAGAAACACAACCGTCAGTTTCTGGCTGAATGTCTCTGAATTGAATTAGCCGAACTATGCAGTCAGAGCAGGAAGGTTTTGATTTCAAGCATTTATTTTGCTGTTTTTTCGTAAAGGGCAGACTCTCATGGAACGATCAGAAGCATGCAGACTGCCAGGGATGAGGTTTTGGTATCTGCCCAAGCATCTTGGGTGCTGTTTCTGTTATTTCACTGACCATTTGCACCACCTATCACTTGATGTTTTAATTAGGGAGGGTTAAGAGCTGATCCTAAGACTTTCAGGTAATGTGCTTTTGTACCACTTCTCCAGGAAGAGCAACAAAAGGCCAAAATTACAACGGCTGGCACTGTGAGGAAAAATCACCACATCAACCACAGAATTACGCGTAACATGTTCTCTCTTCCAATCAGAGATAAACTCTCCATATCTCATAAATGGAGACTTTAGAGATTAAGGAAGTTAAGAATTAAGATGTTCTGCGTGTTCTTTTCAAGCAAGATGTGTATTTAAGTCAATTGGGCGTTGATTAGGACCTGGTTGGTTGATCACAATCCCCTTGGCTTTTGTTCTTCCTCCAAAGGTTCCTCCTAAGCTGGGCTCCAAACAGGATGAGGAAGATCCAGTTATGCTGCTTGATAGTCAGGGATGCTGATGCACATGCACAATTCCCTTTGCAGGGCATCGAATGGGAAATATATAGCCCAGTCTACATTTCTGTGCCCCTGGTGGCGCAGCAGGCTAAGCCGCTGAGCTGCTGAAATTGCTGACTGACCGAAAGATCTGCAGTTCAAATCCAGTGAGTGAGGTGAGCTCCCACTGTTAGTCCCAGTTTCTGCCAACCTAGCATTTCGAAAACATGCAAATGTGAGTAGATCAATAGGTAACACTTCGGTGGGAAGGTAACTATCTTCCATGCAGTCATGCCAACCACATTACCTTGGAGCTGTGTACGGACAACCTCAGCTCTTCAGCTTAGGAGATGAGCACCATCCGCCAGAGTCAGACACAACTGGACTTAATGTCAAGGGAAAGCTAGGTAAAGGTTTTCCCCTGACATTAAGTCCAATCATATGTGACTCTGGGGGTTGGCGCTCACCTTAATTTCTAAGCCAAAGAGCCGGCATTGTCCGTAGACACCTCCAAGGTCATGTAGCCAGCATGACTGCTTGGAGCACCATTACCTTCTTTCCAGAGTGGTAACTATTGATCTACTCACATTTTCATGTTTTCAAACTGCTAGATCGACAGAAGCTGGGGCTAAAAGCAGGAGCTCACTCTGCTCCCCGGATTCAAACCTGCAACCTTTTGGTCAACAAGTTCAGCAGCTCAGCAGTTTAACCCACTGTACCACTGGGGGCTCCTTTACCCTTTTAAAACGTTTTTTTAAGCACACACAACTTCTTGAATTATCCAATTTGAGGTAGGAGATTGCTTCAAAAAATGCCCTTCTCTCCCATCCACAAGTGCCATCTTTGTATAGTAATGGATGTATTGATTACAATACCGTATATCCCTGCTACTCAGAAAACAAACCCTTCCAAAGAATAACTCATAAATATTATGTCCAAAGAAACACTGTCACTCATAAGGACAAATGTGGATCAAACATTTTAAGAAAAATACAATAGAAAAGTAAGCCCTACTTGCCATTGCATAAACATTACTTTGGTAAAGATTTGATGCGGGGACATTTTTGGTGACATCATTATGTATATAAACAACAACAATAACAATTGTTTATCCCACCTTTCTCCAGGCGAGGTCTCACAGCGGCTTATAAAAGTTAAAAAAAAATGTACATCATAGTAGTTTGAATTATCATAAAGTCATTTATTAAACTAAAAGCAGTTAGAAGAACTAAAAAAAAAGATTAAAAAGTTAAAAACAACCCTGGTAGGCTGCACAAAAGAAGACAATGCCTCCCTTTTGTTCACATGGTCCTAGGACATCCCCATATCATTCCCTTGGGCTATTGGGAAATGAGCCCAAAGTTCCACAAAATGCTCCTTTGCCATCACGTTATCACCCCTTGACACAGAAGAAAAAATCCCCCAAACTTTGAACAGAGCCAACAGTTGCATGAGTTTAACAGTAGGAAGGCAACAGGATACAATTTATCAAGGGCACCTCCTGAAGGCCAGAAGCATCCCTTCAGGTGCCGTCCTACCTGAGGTAGCATCGCCCGCAGTCGAAATCCCTCGGCGATCGGATGTTGGGCGCGAGGACCCCGGCATGCTCACGGGTTCAGAACGCACTGGCTGGATCCTAAAATACAAAGGAGGAGAGGTTGCTATATTGTGAAACAGAGAAGCTGACCTGAGAGTTGGCCTATGGATTGGGATGGAGCCAGGAATCTCAGGTGTGTTTTCTTTTTTGCCCAGGTACTGTTTACAGTTTGAGGCACTTTTATGAAAGTAAATGCACCAGGCAGAGGAAGTGTGGAGTAGTGACTAGAGTATAAAAAACTAACACCAAGGAGTAGCGTTAAACCTTCATCCCGGTTCTTGGGTGGGGCCTGCTGACCACTCGGTGGCCCATTGTGAAGAATTTGCAAATAAAGTCACTCAGATCTGGGCCAACATCGACATTTCTATTGATACAGTCTCTGTGGATGTAATCATAGAATCATAGAGTTAGAAGAGACCTCATGGGCCATCCAGTCCAACCCCCTGCCAAGAAGCAGGAAAATTGCATTCAAAGCACCCCCAACAGATGGCCATCCAGCCTCTGTTTAAAAACTTCCAAAGAAGGAGCCTCCACCACACTCCGGGGCAGAGAGTTCCACTGCTGAACGGCTCTCACAGTCAGGAAGTTCTTCCTCATGTTCAGATGGAAACTGAACTCAGGAATCTGCTTGTCATGTTTTAATGGATTTATTTCAATTGGTGCAGTCCGAGGATGTGGACAGGATCCTTGAGGAGGTGAGGTTCATCTCGTGCGTTCTAGATCCATGCCCTTCTTGGTTAATTAAACAGGCCAGATGGGGCTCAGCAGACTGAGTAATGAGGATAGCTAATGCTTCCCCAGCCAAGGCAGATTCCCCTCCAGTCTAAAAATTAGTAAAACCCTAATTGAAGAAACCATCGTTAGATTCCTCCCTAATTACTGCCCAGTCTCTAACCTTTTTTTCCTGGGCAAGGTTCTGGAATGGGTGGTGGCATTGCAGCTCCAGGGATTCCTGAAGGAAACAGATTATCTAGATCCATTTGAGTCTGGTTTTAAGCCTGGCTTTGGTCGTCTTAGTGGATGATCTACGTAGAGAGCTTGATAAAGAGAAGTGTGTCCTTGTTGGTTCTCTTGGACTTCTCAGCAGCCTTCGATACCATTGACCATGGCATCCTTCTGGGTCCCCTGGCTGGGATAGGGCTTGCGGGCACTGTTTTACAATGGCTCCGGTCCTTCCTGGAAGGACAGGCCCAGATAGTGTCGCTGGGGAACACCTGCTCGACTTCATGGCTGTTGTCTTGTGGGGTCCTGCAGGGCTCAGTATTGTCCCCCATGTTGTTTAACATCTACATGAAGGTGCTAGGAGAGATCATCTGGAGTTTTGGAGTTCAGTGCCATCAGAATGAAGATGACACCCAACTCTACTACTCCTTTCCACCGAAAGCCAAAGAAGCAGCCCAGACTCTGAACCGATTTTGTTGCTGTTGTGTGTTTTCAAATCATTTCTGACCTATGGAGACATTAAGGTGAACCTTAGACAAACCCCACTCTCTCAGCCTCAGATAAAGGCAAAGACAAAGCCCCCTCTGACTAAAACTTACCAAGAAAACCCAATGATAGGGTATCTATAAGTTGGAAACTATTCAAAGAACTTCTGCCTGTAGAAACCTCACAAAAATACACAAGTATAGCCATATTTTGCACTTGTGGAGGAAGCATTCATGATGAACTGTGAGGTTGGCTCAAATCCAGTCTGAATCACCACTTTAACAGGGCCTAAAACTGCCTTTTGACATGTTCTCAACAGATCAATTGCCCTGTTTTAGGGGAAGGGCTGCTGCATATGATTTTACATGATAAAAGACAAGTAAGGCTAAAAGAGAGATGTTCTCCTCCTGTTTGAGTTTTGAGTCCTCTGGGGAAGGAACAGAAGTCGTGAACTAGCCTTCATTTCTGCTTTGTTACCCTGGGATGCTATCGCTCTTGGCAAAGGAGCAGCTAAAAACATATTTCCACCATATGATTTAGCTTTGTCCAGTAACAACAGCAATGCAGGGGGAGGGACAGATTAGATATGAGAAGGTTATTCAAGGCATCGCTAAGTTCAGCTCAAGGACCAGAGGGTGTTTTCCTTTTCGACAATGCACACAAAATCTGAACACATTTTAGGCAGAGAGAGAAAGGATGAAAGCACAGGGGTGAGAACAGGCTCACTGGGCCGTGGACATCGGAAGAATGGCTTTCAGTTCATTGCATGGTGGGAGAAGGCATTGGTGTGTTCAAATGGGAATGGAAGGGGGGCCCTGGAGCCAGACTTGTGCCCTGATGGCTTCATATTTGGTCTCCAAAACAGGATCTACTACCCAAAGCCCATATCCCTTGATCTGCCCCCACTCAGGCTCTTTTGTCCAGAGGATTTTGAGCTGAAGAATGGGGCGTAAATAAGTCAAATTAATGAGTAAATAAGAACAGGGCACATGGACTTTCGTGATCACATCCCCTGCCTATGAACCGGCATGGGGAGGCTCTCCTTTCGCTTCCACCACTGTCACGAGCATGGTTGGTAGGGACGAGAGAGAGGGCCTTCTCACTGGTGGCCCCCCAACTTTGGAACATCCTCCCCAGGGAGATTAGGCAAGCCCTCATATAGTCCTCCTTTCATGGGAAACTGACAACCTGGATGTTCCAGCAAGCTTTTGAGAACGATTAGTCCCTACGACCTAGAACCTAAGTCACCAAATAGTACTCTATTCTGCACTTCATCCACTTCCTCGGCCCTATGATACACTGTTTGCACTATTCCTCATCCAATCCTTTTATAGTTGATTAGGTCCATTAGGTAACGGCGCTCCATGCAGTCATGCCGACCACATGACCTTGGAGGCGTCTACGGACAATGCCGGCTTAGAAATGGAGATGAGCATCACACCCCAGAGTCGGACACGACTGGATTTCCTGCCAGGGGAAAACCTTTACCTTTACTCTAGGTCCATCTTAGTACTCCTGACCACTGCTACTGTTGAACCTTGTCTGATGGAGCTCTGATGCATCCCGTTTTATATTTTATGTTTAATGTGTTTTCTCAGGGTTTTGTATTTAATGTTTTATTTTACTTTTAGCTATTTTGTTTATTAAGTTACAGTTACGTTGTTCTATATTGTCTAATGTGTCTTGTCCTGACGTAAACTGTTTGTATGGTTTTCTTTTGGCATCGAAAGTTTGCCATATTTGTTGGAAACCGCCCTGAACCCCTTTGGAGAGATAGGGCAGTGTATAAATAAAGGTTGTTGTTATTGTTATTGTTATGGATCAGACCAAAGGCCTGTCTAGTTCAGCATCCTGTCCCCATTTTGACCAAGTAGATGCCCCACTCCGAACTCAAGAAAGGAAAACGGAATGTTGGAGGACAGGAAAAGAGATTTAAAGATGGGCTCAAAGCCAACCTTAAAAACTCTGGCATTGACACTGAGAACTGGGAAGCCCTGGCCCTTGACCGCTCCAGCTGGAGGTCAGCTGTGACCAGCAGTGCTGCAGAATTTGAGGAGGCACGAATGGAGGGCGAAAGGGAGAAGCGTTCCAAGAGGAAGGTGCGTCAAGCCAACCCCGACCGAAACCGCCTTCCACCTGGAAACCAATGCCCTCACTGTGGGAGAAGATGCAGAGCAAGAATAGAGCTCCACAGCCACATATGGACCCACAAGAATATTGGAAGACAATCATCCTCAGAAAGTGAGGGATCGCCTAAGTAAGTAAGTAAGTAAAGCCCCACTAGCAATCCTATAAGTGTGAATTGAACACAGTCACTCAACCCTGCATCATGCTTCACTGGCATTGAAAGGCATGTTAATGTCTTTTTGTTTATGTCTTATGTATACTCCAGAGGGATAAGAAGACAGGAAACACCTTCTTGAGAAACACAGAATGTTGTTTCTAACCTGAGACTGTTCAGATCCAGATCGTCCGTGTCGAAGTCCAAGAGAGGCTGTGGGGTGTCGTTTGGGCCGTGTGACTGCAGTACTGAAGAACTAGAGGAGATGACAGTAGTTTGGCCTGACGGGTGAATGGTTTTGAACTGGAATTGGGGGCCCATCCACAAACGCCGGTGAGGTCCTGTATGGGTCACAATTTCAACCTGCAAGACAAGAATATGAATGAGGTCAAGCTGGCACTGAACTGAAGAGAAGAAACCTATAAATAAAGTTATTATTATTATTATTTGAAACACAGCAAGATTAGTACACAGCTGGCTGTTGTATTGGATCACACGTCGGACCCTTCTCAAGTGCCTAGGACTGTGTGATGTATTGCCGAATAATGCGTGCAGATCCCTGCAAATGACAGATGGTAATTTTGTCAGCGCCGATTGTGTTTAAGTGCAGGCCAAGGTCTTCAGGCGCTGCACCCAGTGTGCCAATCACCACATATTATTATTATTATTATTATTATTATTATTGCTGTTGTTATTATTATTATTATTATTATTTTACTGACACAAAAACACAGTATGTCACAGCAAACGAGATCCATATGCTGGATTTCGTATCACAAGTCGAACACTTGCCAAGCGTCTAGGACTGTGTTTTTGTTGTTGTTGTTGTTGTTGTTGTTGTTATTATTATTATTATTATTATTATTATTATTATTATTATTATTTGAAACACAACAAAATGAGTCCACAGCAGACAAGATCATTCTGCTGGCTGTTGTACTGATCACACATGTTGTTGTTGTTATTATTAGTATTATTATTGGATCCCCGGTGGTGCAGCGGGTTAAACCACTGAGCTGCTGAACTTACTGACCGAAAGGTTGGCGGTTCGAAGCTAGGGAGCGGGGTGAACTCCTGCTGTTAACCCCAGCTTCTGCCAGCCCTAGCAATTCGAAAACATGCAAATGTGAGTAGATCAATAGGTACTGCTCCGGAGGGATGTTAATGGCGCCCCATGCAGTCATGCCGGCCACATGACCTTGGAGGCGTCTATGGACAATGCCGGCTCTTCAGCTTAGAAATGAAGCTGAGCACCAACCCCCAGAGTCAGACATGACTGGACTTAATTGTTGGGCGAGTGGTCTTATTAACAGAAGACCCTCTCCATAAATGTATAGCAGAGTAACTTATAAGCAACAGAGTGACCCAGCACCAGTAGCCCAAAGTGACAAAAAGAACAATAAAGCACACAAACCAATGTTATCTCCTCCAGAGGAGGCTTTTTTTTGTAGTAAAACAAAATAGTTGCACTATTTTATATTATAAAATATTATATATTGTATATTATAAAATATTATATAATTTATATATAATTACATATTTTATATTACATGTAATATTACTAATAATATTACAATATAATGGTATAGTACAATATAGTAATATATAATACTGATATTGTACTATGCTAATATATTATATGTATATATATGATATTATAATTACATATTTTAGATTACATATATTTCTAATAATATTAAAATATAATGGTATAGTGCATTACTAATAATGCACTAAACATGTAATATTACTAATAATATTTCAATATAATGGTATAGTGCAATATAGTAACATATAATACTGATATTGTGCTATGCTAATAATATAATGTATCGTATGTATATATATATGTATTATAATTATATATTTTATATTACATACAATATTTCTAATAATATTACAATATAATGGTATAGTACAAAATAGTAATATATAATACTGATATTGTGCTATGCTAATAATATATTGTATGTATATATATATATGATATTATAATTACATATTTTATATTACATGTAATATTACTAATAATATTACAATATAATTTTTTTGTCGTGTCAGGAGCAACTTGAGAAACTGCAATTGGTATAGTACAATATAGTAATATATAATACTGATATTGTACTATGCTATGCTAATATATTATATGTATATATATGATATTATAATCACATATTTTCTATTACATATAATATTTCTAATAATATTAAAATATAATGGCATAGTGCAATATAGTAATATATAATACTGATATTGTACTATGCTAATATATTATATGTATATATATGATATTTTAATTACATATTTTATATTATATGTATTTTTAGTAATAATATTACATAATTTTTTTTGTCGTGTCAGGAGCGACTTGAGAAACTGCAATTGATATAGTACAATATAGTAATATATAATACTGATATTGTACTATGCTAATAATATAATATATTGTATGTGTATATATATATGTGTGTGTATGTGATATTATAATTATATATTTTATATTACATGTAACATTACTAATAATATTACAATATAATGGTATAGTACAATATAGTAATATATAATACTGATATTGTACTATGCTAATAATATAATATATTGTATGTGTGTATATATATATATGTGTGTGTATGTGATATTATAATTATCTATTTTATATTACATGTAATATTACTAATAATATTACAATATAATGGTATAGTACAATATAGTAATATATAATACTGAAATTGTACTATGCTAATAATATGTATTTATGTATATATATCTTGTAAGCCACTCTGGGTCCCCTTTGGGGTGAGAAGGGCGGCATATAAATGTTGTAAATAAATAAAATAATAAATATTAACAATAACAGGGTTTCCACAACACAAATAAAGAGCTACATAGTAGCTTTACACTACTTGTGTAAGAACCTGTGGCTTTTTACACGAGGCTTCTCTCTCACACACAAATTCACCTCACAGACAAGCCTCCTCACACAAGACGGAGGAATTCCCTCTCTGAGGCAAACTAACTCTAACAGGCTTCAGCCTACTCATTCTCCTCAGCTTTGGCCCACTGACTCTGACAGGCTTTGGCCTACTCACTCTTTCAATGCTTGACTCACACATTTGTCATCAAAAATACCCAGTTAATATTTAATATTTCTGACATTAATGTCAAGGGGAAACCTTTACCTTTACTTATTATTATTTTTACAGTAGAGTCTTGCTTGTCCAACATAAATGGGCCGGCAGAAGGCTGAATAAGCAAAAATGTTGGATTTTATTGACCACTAGCCATCCCCTGCCACACGTTGCTGTGGCCCAGTCTGTGTATATGTGTTTTCTGTGTGTATATGTGTGTGTGTATATTTGTGTACACACAGAAAACACATATACACAGACTGGGCCAAAGCAACGCGTGGTAGGGGATGGCTAGTAGTCAATAAAATCCAACATTTTTGCTTATTCAGTCTTGTAACATTCACAAATGTAATGTTCATTTGTGGGATTTTTTTTTTTGTTAAAAATGCAATGCAATTTGTTTGGTCTGTCCCTGACACGATAAATAAAAAAAATATTTGTGTATATACGTGTGTTTGCATATATGTGTGTGTGTGTGTGTTGTTTTGTGCATGCATTGTAATGTATTTTTTTCTTTTTCGGCTTTTAAAGTCTCTTCTACTGTGTTTTTCTGTGTTTTTATGAGTGATGGCCACTCCTTGGCCTGATAGGTGTCTTGTGTCCAAATTTGGTGTCAATTCATCCAGTGTTTTTTGAGTTATGTTAATCCCACAAACGAACATTACCTTTTTATTTATATAGATTTATTTATATCCTCCTGAGAAAAATGTATAATATCACAAGGGATGACCACCTCACCCGCCTCATAGGAAACCTGCTACAAACAGGAGCTTTTTTGTTGAGTTCCAGGGCCAGAGAAGCAGATGGCGGAAACAGAAGAACGGCCTGCCTCAGGGGAGCGTGCTTGCTCCATCCATGTTCAACATCTACACAAATGATCAGCCACTGCCAGAAGGGACAGAGAGTTTCATCTATGCTGATGATCGTGCCATCACTGCTCAAGCAGGGAGCTTTGAGATGGTTGAACAGAAGCTCTCCGAAGCTCTAGGTGCTCTTACTGCCTATTAAAGGGAAAACCAGCTGATCCCTAACCCATCTAAAACACAGACATGTGCCTTTCACCTTAAGAACAGACAAGCATCCCGAGCTCTGAGGATTATTACCTGGGAAGGAATCCCACTGGAGCTTTGCAGCGCACCCAAATACCTGGGAGTCACTCTGGACCGTGCTCTGACCTACAAGAAGCACTGCCTGAACATCAAGCAAAAAGTGGGTGCTAGAAACAATATCATACGAAAGCTGACTGGCACAACCTGGGGATCACAACCAGATACAGTGAAGACATCTGCCCTTGAGCTATGCTACTCTGCTACTGAGTATGCATGCCCAGTGTGGAACACATCTCACCATGCTAAAACAGTGGATGTGGCTCTTAATGAGACATGTTGAATGATCATGGGGTGTCTGCGCCCTACACCACTGGAGAAATTACACTGCTTAACCGATATTGCACCACCTGACATCCGCTGGGGAGTAGCAACCAATAGTGAAAGGACCAAGGCAGAGACATCTCCAGCCCATCCCCATTTGGATATCAGCCAGCACTCCAACAACTTAAATCAAAAAATAGTTTTCTAAGATCTACAGAGACACTCGCTGGAACACCTCAGCAAGCGAGAGTCCAAAAGTGGCAGGCTAAAACCCAGAACCTCAACCAATGGCTGATACCAAATGAGAGACTCCCCCCTGGGCACACAGAAGACTGGGCGACTTGGAAGGCGCTGAACAGACTGCGCTCTGGCACCACGAGATGCAGAGCCAACCTTCAGAAATGAGGCTACAAAGTGGAATCCACGACATGCGAGTGTGGAGAGGAGCAAACCACAGACCACCTGCTGCAATGCAACCTGAGCCCTGCCACATGCACAATGGAGGACCTTCTTGCAGCAACACCAGAGGCACTCCAAGTGGCCATACTGGTCAAAGGACATTTAATCAACTACCAAGCTTGCAAATTTTGTATTTTGTCTGTTTGTTAAAAATTTGTTAAAAATGTAATACAATTGTCTGGTTGATACTGACACGATAAATAAATAAGTGGAATGTACAGGTTGCTTCACATAAAGCATGATGTGTTTGTCTGCAATTTAGAGATGGCAACCACTGGGAGACTAGTAGAGAATTGCCAACAGTGGTCATTACCTTATTAACACTGCCCTCCACCGAACAGTTGCTAGGTGATAACTGTTCAAAATGAAGGTAGAGGTAAAGTACGTCTGAGAAGGGAGAATTCATAAAAGGGAAGGGGGGGGGGGGTTGAAGGCTATGAAATCCTATGAAAGGAGGGGAGTGAATTGGAGAGGGAACTGCTGGGTCTAGAAAGCGGGCGGGAGGAGTGGAGGGAAAGTGAAAGGCTGCCAAATCCAACCTGACACCAAATATGGCCTTCCACAGTTGTTTACGTCCCTCTCGATGCTGGCTTCATATTCACCAAGATGTATTTCCTTGCTCCGGCTATTGCTTCCAACATCAGTGCTCTAGGTGACTAGTGATTGTTATAGCAAGCAATTCCTCTCCCGCCTGCTCTTTTCTTTTATTGTTTGCCGGGCTCTTCCTTTCCAGCCTCAGAGGAGGAAGAGTACCCAGCCACTAGATTCCCCTTCTTGGGGGAAATAGGGAGGAGGGCACGCAGGTTGTCCTCCTGATGCGAGCAGCGGCTCTTTTGCACCGCTATGTAAATTAGGCCACGACTAAAGCATTATGTATATTTCCAGCTCGAAACCATCAGCGCCGCAGAGCCGAGAGGTAAACAGATGCCTCTGCAATTTCACCAAGGGTAGGAGCCAGATGTTCCCCACTCCTTCCCCCGCCACGCGCAGGACAAACATATTGTATCTACTTCCCAATGACAGCACACATTACACACTCGTCTAATTGAGAAGTGGAAGAGAAGGGCAGTGTTTCTTCGCTGCATGCCGTGACCGTGGCGGACAACATTCGCGTTTGGGGGGGGAAAAAATACTGATGCTCTGCGGGCTTTAATCTGAAGTGGCTGAAGATGGGGTTGCTTTTATCGCATAAGCAGAAAGGAGGCATTCCTGAAGGTGCCTTAAGCAGCCTTCAAGGTGCGTCAACTTGGGGACTCGGTTTCAAATGGACAGAACGTTCTAGACCTTGGAGTCCTCATGGACAACAAGTTAAACATGAGCCAACAATGTGATACGGCGGCAAAAAATGCCAATGGGATTTTGGCCTGTATCAATATAAGTCTAGTGTCTAGATCCAAGGAAGTCATGCTCCCCATGCTCTATTCCGCCTTATTTTATTTATTTATTTTATTTACAGCTTTTATATTCCGCCCTTCTCACCCCACAGGGGTGAGAAGGGCGGATTACAGTGTACACATATATGGCAAACATTCAATGCCAATTTTTGACATACAAACATATACAGACATACACAGAGGCTATTTAACTTTTTCTGGCCACCAGGGGAGCTGTCGCTTTCATCGTCCATCTGCGACGCTGATCAAGCACTTCTGCATTCCCCGCATGTTTCCCCGCTGGAATGCTTTGCTGGAGTCTTCTTTATGGCCTCATAAATCAGTTAATTTAGCCTCCCCACACTTTAAGGTGGTACCTTATTTTCCTACTTGACAGATGCAACTGTCTTTCGGGTTGCAAAGGTCGACAACAGGATACACACAATTGGTTGGAAACCCACTCCAACCCGGGCTGGCTTCAAACTCATGACCTTTTGGTCAGAGTGATCTTAATGCAGCTGACACTCAGCCAGCTGCGCCACAATCCCGGTGCTTGGTTGGACCACACCTGGAATGTTGTTGTTCATTCGTCCAGTTGTTTCCCACTCTTTGTGACTCCATGGACCAGTCCACACCAGAGCTCCCTGTCGGCCATCACCACCCCCAGCTCCTTCAAGGTCAATCCAGTCACTTCAAGGATGCCATCCATCCATCTTGCTCTTGGTCGGCCTCTCTTCCTTTTTCCTTCTATTTTCCCCAGCATCATTGTCTTCTCTAAACTTTCCTTTCTTCTCATGATGTGGCCAAAGTACTTCATCTTAGCCTCTACTATCCTTCCCTCCAATGAGTAGTCAGGCTTTATTTCTTGAAGCATGGACTGGTTGGATCTTCTCGTTGTCCAAGGCACTCTTAGAACTTTCCTCCAACACCACAGTTCAAAAGCATCTCTCTTCCTTCGCTCATTCTTCCTTATGATGCAGCTCTCACATCTGTAGGTGTCTACGGGGAATGCCATTGCTTTAACTATGCGGATCTTGGTTGCCAGTGTGATGTCTCCACTCTTCACTATTTTATCAAGCTTAGTCATTGCTCTCCTCCCAAGAAGTAAGCATCTCCTGGAATATTGTGTCCAATTTTGAGCACCACAATTGAAGAGAGATATTGACAAGCTGGAGGGTGACTAAAATGATCAAGGGTCTGGAGAATAGGCCCTATGAGGAGTGGCTTAAAGAGCTGACCATGGTTAGACTGAAGAAGAAAAGGCTGAGAGGAGACATGATGAAGGCCATGTATAAATATGTGAGGAGGGAGCAAGCTTGTTTTCTGCTGCCCTGGAGAGTAGGACACGGAGCAATGGCTTCAAACTATAAGAAAGGAGATTCCATCTGAACATTAGGAAGAACTTTCTAACTGTGAGAGCCATTCAGCTGTGGAACTCTCTGCCCCAGAGTGTGGTGGAGGCTCCTTCTTTGGAAGCCTTTAAACATATGCTGGATGGCCATCTGTTGGGGGTGCTTTGAATGCAATTTTTCTGCTTCTTGGCAGGGGGTTGGACTGGAAGGCTCATAAGGTCTCTTCCAACTCTAGGATTCTATAAGATTCACGTGTGAGCAGCAACTCCAAAGGCATTTGGAAGACAACCTGGCAAGTATTGGTCCATTGGGCAATACATGTCCATGTCAATCGAAGTGCAAATGCCCAAGTTCTGAAGTAGTGAACACCCCCATATACACTCCTCACACACATACACTTGGACTGAAGGTTCTGGGTTTCACCTGCTCAATCGCTCATACCTGAGAAAGCCACTCTTCATCTTCCTGCCCACTGTGGTCAGAGGCCAAGCTGTCATAGGATTCGTGACGGGTTATGGGTCCTGGACTTCCAAGTGGAACCACTGAGCAAAAATAAAAAAGGAGAGGAGAGGAGAAAACACAACAGACGTGATTAATGAGTTGTGAGGTCTCATATGTCCAAAGTACAACAGTCTCAATTTAGTCATCTTCACACTTATCTAGTTCGTCACAGCTTCCCTTCCGAGGCCTAGTCTCCTTCCAACTTGTTGACTACGGCTTCTATTTTAATTAGTGACTGAGCCAAGATATGGAAAATCTTGAACTCTTTCAATGGGTTGCTGTGAGTTTTCCGGGCTGTATGGCTATGTTCCAGAAGTTTCTCCTACATCCGTGGCAAGCATCCTCAGAAGTTTGTTGGAAATGGGGCAAGTGGAGTGTGTATGTGTGTTGGGGGAAACCCTTTACCTTTACTCTCTCTCTATATATATACACACACACACTCCACTTGCCCCATTTCCAACAAACTTCTGAGGATGCTTGCAGGTGAAACGTCAGCTTAGAAATGGAGATGAGCACCAACCCCCAGAGTCAGACACGATTGGACTTAATGTCGGGGAAAACCTTTACCTTTACTCTCTCTATATATATATGACACCACTTGCCTCATTTCCAGCAAACCTTTGAGGACGTTTGCCACAGATGCAGGCAGAACATCAGGAGAGAATGCTTCTGGAACATGGCCATACAGCCTGAAAAACTTACAATGATTCTGGCCATGAAAGCCTTTGACAATATCATAAAAAAGAGTCAACATCTGTATTTTGCAAATGCATCCATGGTTTTCCAAAACATGCCCCAAGCCTTCCCGAGTGTGGCAACTCCTAGGGCAAGCGGCATTTTGTCTCAACATGTGCCCCAAGAGGTGATGTGAAACACATACTTCTGTCAAAAACCTTGAACCCAGTGAAATGGTTTCAGCAGAACGGATGTGTGATGTGGACGCCACACTGAACCCAAGGAGCTCTTGGCACCTTCCAGCTGGCAGCATGACAGGGAAGGGAAAAAACCCAGCTCCGAGTCAAGCTGACAACTCCCGGGGCATCTCACCCCTTCGACAAATGCCGCTGTCAACGATCTAGCTCCTCGCTTCAAAGTTTTCAAGAAACTGTCCACTGTAGGAGACGCGGGAGTGGAGCTAAGCCACAGTGACAAAACCTCTCCTCAGGCAGCAGCGCTGGGCAGAAAACAGAGTCGCCCTTCAACACACAGCAGGCCTTGCTTGGCCTGAGGAACCGCAACCATCAAGCCGCCGTGACACTAATGCAACTTATCTGAAGCTGCCTCAACAATTAAGTTGGCTGAGATCTTTCTGGCAGGTGGGAGCAGATGATTTACATCTCGGCAGCAGCTGTTTTACCGAACAGCCACACTTTATCACTGTGAAGTGGCATCCGTAAGAGGGGAAAACACAATGGCACCGAATTCACATACACACAGGACACTTTGGGGACATGGGGATTTGTCTGCAGTTGGGGGACCTCTCGAAAGCCTAAGTACCAAATGTGGGTGGGAAATCCTGGGGCCGACACAGTGAGCTGCCAGAAGGAGGAAAGCCTGGGATTAGGGAATGAAGGGCTTGTGGAAAAAAAGAGGCAAGTTTTCAAGTTGGCTCCCAGCCTCTTTTCCCTGAGTCGTAAAAATTAGTGTCAAAGAAACTTATGCTAGGGCCAGCGCCAGGGAAAAAAACCCAAGGCCTAATAATTTGATTTTCTAGGGGAAACAGGCCTCAAAGCATGAGTCGCTTTTGCAACGGATGTGGATCTCAAAAGATTTTTGCAAGGACAGCGGCTCAGTGTTACAATGCGTAGGATGAAGGCAGAAGTTCCCAAACAGATGTTGACTCATTTTAAATGTATTGTTAAAGGCTTTGATGGCCAGAATCATTGTAAGTCTTTCAGGCTGTATGGCTATGTTCCAGTAGCATTCTCTCCTGATGTTCCGCCTGCATCTGTGGCAAGCATCCTCAGAAGTTTGTTGGAAATGAGGCAAGTGGTGTGTGTGTAATTGTATAGAGAGAGAGTAAAGATAAAGGTTTTCCCCGACATTAAGTCCAGTCGTGTCCGACTCTGGGGGTTGGTGCTCATCTCCATTTCTAAGCTGACGTTTCACCTGCATCCGTGGCAAGTATCCTCAGAAGTTTGTTGGAAATGGAGCAAGTGGAGTGTGTGTGTATATATATATAGAGTAAAGGTAAAGATTTTCCCCGACATTAAATCCAGTCATGTCCCCCAGCCTCTGGGGGTTGGTGCTCATCTCCATTTCAAAGCCGAAGAGCCAGCGTTGTCCGTAGACACCTCCAAGGTCATGTGGCATGATGTCCTGAGTTGCTCTTCAAAAACAGCCTTAATACAATGTTGAAAGTAAAAGAAAAGTGCTTTACTTTAGCAAACACAAAGGATAAGCAAATTGAAAACTACAAAAGAAAGCAAGGAAGCCTTAATGCGGGCACAAATTAAAGTCTCTCACAAAGTCCCAAAAGAAACAGCAGTCTTTCATCAGACAACAAGCAATGATCACTAAGTCCTTAGCAGCAGACACAAAGCAGGTTCAATCAGAGTGAAAACCTCAGCATCAGAGTTGCTGTTACCAGTGAAAGCTGACTGCTCTTGCTTCTGATTTATAGCCCTGAATTCCCCACGCAGGAGGTGCTAGGGTGTCTCCCAATTAGCTCAGCATTTCTAGCAGCTATTCTAACTGACCACCGTCTGTGCTCTGTCTCCTTTAGTCTCTCACTTGCAAACCCTCATCGTCTGATTCTTCTTCTCCCTCCAGTTCCTGAGCACTTCCCTGCTCCTCTTCTTCCAAAGATGAGGAATCCCTAACACATGACTGTATGGAGCACAGTTACCTTCCCGCCGGAGTGGTACCTATTGATCTACTCACATTTGCATGTTTTCGAACTGCTAGGTTGACAGAAGCTGGGGGTAACAGCGGGACCTCACACTGCTCCCCGGATTCGAACCTGCAACCTTCCAGTCAACAAGTTCAGCAGCTCAGTGCTTTAACACACTGCGCCACCGGGAGCTTAAAACTATACACACACACACAGTGTTCCCTCACTTATCGCAGATGCTACGTTCCAGGACCACCCATGAAAAGTAAAAATCCACAAAGTAGGGACGCTATATATGTATATTGAGTTCTGAGGGTCAGGCAGAAGCGAGGAGAGATTTAAGGGCACCACACTTTTTTTTGTTTGCTAGCTATCTCTGCTTTGTTTTGTTGAAGGCTTTAATGGCTGGAATCACTGGGTTGTTGTAGGTTTTTTCAGGCTATATGGCCATGTTCTAGAGGCATTCTCTCCTGATGTTTCGCCTGCATCTATGGCAAGCATCCTCAGAGGTTGTAAGGTTGCCTGCCACATATGCTGGCGAAATCTCAGGAGAGAATGCCTCGAGAACATGGCCATATAGCTTGAAAAAAGTACAACAACCCAGTATCTCTGCTTTGCTTTGCAGTATCTTGTTTGGCTTCCACACTCCATTGTTGCCAGGAGGTGGGATTAGAATGCCGCTCTGGGCAACGACAACCATTAATAAACTGGGAGGCAAAATCCCGCGAAACAGCAAGCCCGTGAAAAGCAAACCGCAAAGTAGCGAGGGAACACTATGTGTGTGTGTGTATGTGTATGCAGAGTGTTGGCACCTCTATAATGTAAACAAACAGCCTTTGAAAGATATAAATCCCAATGTTATTTAAGATGGCGGTGTGCGTTGTTGTTTTAGTGGCTGGCAAAACTTAATATAATCAACATTGGCTCTATATGGTCCCTTCATCAAATGACATCCACTGTAGGTTTGTGTGCATGTACGTCTTGGTATTGATCATAGTTTTGGGTAGATAGAACTCCCTTTTTGAAATGTAATGGGGAGATGCCGAAAAAGAAAGACCCCCTCCCCCCCAAACTTCTCAAACCAGCCATTTCTGCTCGTGTTATCTGTCCATGCTCCTCCTTGCCCTCCGACGCAAGGGTACAATAGACGTTCAATTATTAATCTTTTCAGGTTTTCTATCAGCAGCTCAATGCGGGGATCTGGTTTCCTTTTCCTCTCATTACATTCCTCCCGAGAGAACAGTCACAGACAGAGTATAATTATGAAACAGACATCTCTGTGTGCTGCAAAGAGATCTTTGACATGGTGGCTTCTCAACAACCACAGGTGCCTGGCTTCCTCCCCCGCCTCCACGCAAACACACACACCAAAGCCAATCTTGGCTGATAGACTCACACCTTCACTTCTTTTGCAAACTGGCAAACCAGAGAGGATGTCAGTTGTAGACCTCTGGGACCCGGGATGCATGCGTGAACCTATTCAACACTCCAAGAACAGCAGTTCTACGAATCAGGGTGGGAAAATGGGGAAATAAAGTCAATTATTTTGGCATATGAAAGCACTAAAGTCGTTTAATTGTCATTCCATAAAGAGCAATGGTTGTACCCTGAATCTGGAAACTGTGGGAGAACATGCAGATCAAGAATAGGGCTCCACAGTCACCTACGGACCCACCGCCAGAACACCAACATTGGAGGACCATCATCCTCAGACTATGAGGTATCGCCTAAGTAAGTACTGCCAAGATAATGCTTCTTCTACGATTCCACCCACAGAATGTGACTGTACTTCCATCTGAGTCTTATTTCAGCACTCGTGATGGGACACTTTCCTCTACAATGTCATTTCAATGAGGTTAATAACTCAGGGCCCTAAAAAAGGAGTAGGCAAACTATCCAATTGCTGCCCTCACCTCATTCGGCCCAATCTGCCTCATTCTACCCAATAGCCCTGCATAGAAAATGGTCCGGTAATAGCTTGTCCCATTGGAACAAATGTCCCCAGTTCTAACCACAATAGTTCTCAAGAACTTTGTTCAGGGCTTCCTACACAGAAGTGGGGAGAGAAGGACACAGCCCCAGTCCACACAGGCGTGTATGTCGTTCGGTCTGTGACTCACTATTTGATCAAGGCAACACCGGATGGCTCCCAGCCAAAGGTATGAGCTGCCTTTCCCGTTGAAATGCTTTGGCACCGAGTGGACGGGG